GGGCTCAGGAGGGTGCAGGTGTTGGGGTACAGGAGGAGGGCAGGGGTAGGGGCACAGGAGGGGGAAGGTGTTCGGGTGCAGGAGAGGGCAGAGGTTGGGGTGCAGGAGGTTGCAGCTGTTGGGGTGCAGGAGGAGGGCAGGGGTTAGGAGCACAGGAGGGGCCAGGTATTGGGGTGCAGGAGGGGGCAGAGAATGGGTGTAGGGATTAGGGGTGCAGGAGGGGGAACAGGCATTAGGGGCAAACGGGCACAGTGCAGGGGGGGGGGGGGGGGGGGGGGGGGGACCCCGGGGGGGGCGGGGGGAAGGGGGGGGGCCCCGGGGCAGGGGGGCCAGGGGCACCAAAATGCAAGTTCGCCCAGGGTGCCATTTTCCCTCAAGCCGGCCCTGGTCACATGGTTTGGAACCACAAAGCACATGTTGGACCAACTATTGAGGAGCAGAAGGACCAGACTGTGCAGGGCCCAGGAATTGTGGGATAGCTTTGGTGGACTATCCAAACACAAGCCTGGCTAGAATAGCCTCAGCGAAGTGGGCAGGCATGACACTATAGCGGACCGTGGCCTCACACCTCTACCCTGGGACGAGCCAGTCAGCCCGTGTTGTGAGGGGTGCGGGTGCATGTCAAAGGGCTTTGTGGGTGTTAGGGCAGGGCGTAGACATGTGTCAGAGCCCGTGTCCCTACTACAGTGTAGACATACTCTAGCTGCACCAGTTGGACAGCCTGCGTAAATGTTTGCTACCTGGCGGATGTCTGGCTGTTTGCAGTGGAAATGAGGCCTTTTGACCTTTCTCTTGTTTGTCTCTCCCCAGATTCCATGTGATAGTGGATGTGATCAAACCAGAAAAGCTGGACATCACCACCATGCTGAAGGGGCTGGACTACACGGAAGTGCCTGCCTCCTCCAAGAAGGACTATAAGCTCACCTTCTTCTCCTACAAGGAAGGGCTATTCAGTGCCAAGGTAGATCCGCTCCCAGGCCCTGTGGCTCTGCAAAGGAAGGGTTGCTTGCTGGTCGTGTGTGGGGATGAGGGTGGGTGTCTCTAGGATTTTAAACCAAAATATTGAAACTTTTGGGTGCCCAGAATGAGGTGACTGTTCTGGTAGTTGGACATCTAAAGTGAAGCTCTCCTGGAAGCTGAGCAGGGCACCTGTTCTCTGCCAGGTGTGCGTAGGAGGCAGGTGGGAAGAGTCCAAGATGAGTTCATTTCTCCTGTGACCGGAACTAGCCCCCGGTCCAGAGGGAGCTCCCAGCTCCCCTAGGTCTGACTGTTACCTCTTTTGTACTTGATTTCAGGTGACCTTTCGCAATGAGGCGACACAGGAGTACGTGTTCTACCTGGTCACGTTCAAGGCCATCCCTTCTGGTCCGGTCAGCACCATCGAGATGGTTACCCCTGTTCGGCAGAGCACGTCCTCCTCCGTCAAGGTGGAGAACCCCCTCGTCTTCCCGGTGACGTTCACTACAGACTGCAAAGTGCCCGATGTCAACCTCCCGCCGCAGTTCATTGTGCCCGCCCAGTCCGAGGTAGGACAAAGCCTTGCACAGCAAACCTGCTTCCCCCGCTCTCCTCCCTCTGCAGTAGCGCAATTGCTGTGACCTTCTAGAATGTCAACAGCCCAAGTGCTCATAGGCGCCAACTTTCTCTGGCACCGATGGGTGCCCGGGCCCCCCTGCCCCTGGCCCCGCCCTGACTCCACCCCATCCCTGCCCCTGGCCCCGCCCCCATTCCAACCCCATCCCAAAGTCCCTGCCCTAACTCCGCCCCCTCCCTGCCCCTATTGGATCCCTTCCCCAAATCCCCGCCCCAGCCCCGCCTCTTTCCCCAGCACGCCGCGTTCCCCCTCCTCCCCCCTCCCTCCCTGCCCCGCGAATCAGCTGTTTCGTGGTGCAAGCGCTGGGAGGGAAGGGGGAGAAGCAGGACACGTCAGTGCGCTCGCAGAGAAGGTGGAGGTGAGCTGGAGCAGGGGGGCGGGGCGGGGCCACGGGGAGCTGCCGGTGGGTGCTCCAGGCCCAGAACACCCACGGAGTCGGCGCCTATGCAAGTGCTCCTGGCCCAGGTGTTAGCCTGAGCTGTGTGTGCACTATGGGGCTGGTTTCCAATGGTAACAGACCCCACCTGATCCTCAGCGGCTGCAGTCCCCAAAAGGTCACATGGGAATGAGAAGATGGGGAGGGTAAGCAAATCAGAGAGGTGGGGGGAGTGCGGATGTGCGGAGTATCCCTACAGAGAATTACACTGCCCTGCAGGAATCTGCCATGCACTGCTAGTATGCCTGTAACACATCACACGACCACATGCAGAGTTGCTGCCAACAAGCCCACAGGCCTTCCCACCACTGATGTGATTGCACTGGCTGTTTGCAAGGCCAGCTACTGAGTCATTCACCCCTGTGCCAATCCCCTCCAGGGCAGTGCTGTCACTGTGCTAACTCCAAGTGCAATCCCACGAGGCTTCTGCCTGCCCTTCTAAGCATCATCTCTGTCCCCTGTCCAGGCCTTAGCTGCGCTAAACACCCCAGCTCCCCGCACCCTTGTTCTGGGTAGGCCGAGAGCAGCTGAAGTGGGGCTGAGCTGCTCTCTGCTCTACCAATCTCCTTCTCCACCCCAGCTCCCCTGGCCCAAAGAACAAAAGGACACAAAAGTTGGATGAAGAATACAGCTTTATTTTGGAAAATATTGCCGCTTTGTCTGCGGGCCAGCGGGGAGCTTTTCCTTTTCCCTGCGGCAGATTCTCCACAAAGCAGGAAGGACACACTGAATGGTTAATTAACAAACATACAGACATGGACTGGCACAGGCATCCTCCTCCCTCCTGCTTTACAGGGGTTTGCCACAGCTCTCCACCCCTTCGTCAATGCATCCCCCACCCCAAGGATCTGCGCTTGAGAAATCAGAAATGTCATTATTTATATCGATGTTCCAGTAATTCCTAGAGACACGCACCCTTGTGGCTTAGCCTGTACAGACTTATCCGAGATAATCCCTGTCCCAAAATGCTGACAAGCCAAATGGACAAGCCAGGCTAGGGTGGATGGGGGGAAGAGATGTAACACGCAAGCAGAGTGATCAGAACAATGAAACAACTTTGTTAGTTCCAAACTTTATTCGCTTTCTGTCCCCCTGTCTGGGGTACATTTCGTCTTATGAATTGATAAATAATGATCATTGATTAATGAATTCATACCCCATCCCCACCATGTAAACCCATGGTGCTGTAGATGATAAATGCGCTGAGCAAGTGTAACCCACACACCACCTGGCTGTGGTGTTCTGTCCCAGCTAATGGTACTGAGACCACTGGGAGAGATTAATGAGTCTGCTGTACAGCCTTTGCTAAGGGCCATATGGCTTTTATGCAGTAGAGGCTCATTTATTAAGCTCCAGAGGTCCCAGGTTCGATTCCACCTGCCGACAACCAGCGTCTGTTGGTGTTACACAAGTGAGCACTGATTGGGTTGCAAGGGCGCTGCATGTTACAACCGCTGTTGACTGTTCATGATGCAGCACACAAGTG